TCATCGTATATTTGAGGATATTTGTATGGACGCTTGTAAATTGGGTCCTCATGTTTTGTTAGAATTTTGTGTTTAATTGTACTAGTGAAAGTCAAATTGTCACCTTCATGGTACTGGATATCACGAAATTCATGTAAAACTTTTTTTATTTTTTCTTTTTCTTCTGAGTTTAGGTGCTCTAGCCTAAACTCATTGTTTTCTATTAATTCATTATTAATAGCGAAGTTAAATGGTCTGTCCTCTGTTGAGGGTGGATCAAGGCACTCTTGTGCGGTCATGTCCTCTTCGACCTCTTCGTCGTTATATCTAAAACAAAAGTTAAATTCTCCTAAGGTTACGGATCCTTGTGCATAGTCTATTTTTGCTTGACATGCCTCAAGGTATTCTCTCCCAATCAGAACATCATAATGCTCTGAGAAGTCGTGAATATAGAATTTTTGTTTGCTCGGACAAATTTTGCTTGCTCCTAATCGTATACTTTGTTTTAATTCAATAACACCATTTATGGTGTGAACCTTTAATGTTTCGTTGTAAACTGGAAAATTTAAGCGGTTAGTTTTCATTAGATTAATGGTTGAACCTGTGTCGATGACACATTTTAGAACTTCGTCATTCATAATCAATTTTATGAATGGATTTCTTCTGTTTGTTCCGAGGCTTGCTGATGAAAATTTTCGGATGTATCCATTTTCATCTGCCCACTGTTACTATCTCTTTGACGTTTAGTCGGAGGGTTTGGTGCATTCAAGCGTGAATGGGACTGATTTTGGTAGTTTAAGGGATTTTGGTATCTACCTTGACTTAATTTCTGTTGGAACTCGTGGTGAGCTTTCTGATTGTCTTCGGACTTATTATGCTGTTTATTTTGTGCGTGATAACTCTGATTCGTGTTGGAATAGCCACTTGAAATGGTGGTTGGGTTAGCATTTTGCTGATAATTTCCCATGTTCCTACGATTGTTATTTGGATTTCCCTGAACATTATTATTTTTAGGTTTTTCAGTAACGCTATTTTCATATAATCCCTCTCTTTGAGCTACTTGCTTTAGTTTTTGTGTCGACGTAATGTCGTGTCTGGCTAACATCATGAAAAGCCTATCTGGTAATTTTTTTGTAATAACATCTTTGATTGTGTTATTCATAGCATTTGTATAAAGGGTTGTATTGCTAGGTATATTTTCTAGTGCTAACTTATTTAATATAACAAAAGATTTATTCTCGAGCTCCTCGATGAACTTACGGACGTTTCCTTGGTAATTCGTGTTGTATAAGCGTCGAAGGAGTTCTTCAAATGGTGTCTGCACTTTGTATTCTTCAATTAATGCGTTTCTCAGCTCCTGCCAAGTGTTGGCTGCTGTCCTTTGTGATATTCTCTGAGCATCTCCTGTGACTTGCAATTCGATGGCTCCGTATAAGATGCTATGTTGTCTAACATCTCGGGTTGGATACAGGTGTAGGATGTAATCTATCCTTTTAATGAAGGCGTTTAGTTGATCCGTTGATCCGTCAAAGCTTGGCACCTGTCTAAGTTGTGAAAGGGCCTGGTTGAGGTGTTGTTCTGATAATTCCATTGTCATCTTGGTGTAATACACTTTTTTTTGAATAGTTTTGAGTTTGTAGGTTTGAACTTTATTGTTCTTTGATTTTGCACTTTTATTTTAGGTTAAAGTTTGTGATGGATTATTGGTTAAATGTTTCTTTTTTTTTTTTTTTGTGTGTGTGTCTTAAAAAGACTCAGTAATAACGTATTGCAGGGATCAAACGATATGCAAATCCAGTCGTTATTAACTGTAGTAGCTTTATTGCCCAAAGGGTCAATATTATTAAGCTACTAGTGACCCGAAGGTTCTTGTGCGGATACGTATTCGAGAAAATTTTTATTACACTCCGACAACACTTTCGGTCGCGATTGTGCGTTAGATCTGGGAATTAATTATCCTTTAGCGATCTTAACTTTTTCCCGACGTATCCTACCGGCTGCGCCAATTAAGTTTTACACGTTAGGTTACTATAAAAAAATATATTTCAATTTATTATTTTCACTTAACGGCTACTTTTGTTGAGTACATTCAGATTTGCTTCCCGAATATGAACTGATTTATCTAACTGTTGCGGTCGCTTAGCAAACTTCGCTTTGAGAGAGTTTGAGTCAAAATTGAGTGAAGTTTGAGCTGCGTCAGCAATTATGCGTGGGATAGTACTCTGATGGGAACATTGACAGTGGCGTGATATTTAGGGTGAATTGTTTATGTCTACCAAAGGGGGACAGTTTGATCTTGACCAATGTCGATGTTATCACCAGGCTCTTTGTTTACAATATTAGAAATGTTTATAATTGTGCTTATGCTTATGCGCCAAGTTATGTTAAAGGGTGGGTGCGACTATGGATATGTCACTATATATATGTATACGAAGCATGCGGCTTATGAGGCCTTTAATTTAATTTAGCAAAAGTAAGCCGAGCAGAAAGAGCTCTCGAGATATCGTGAGATATCGGGCAAGGAAATGACAACGGTTAAAAACGAAAGTGAAATGCGAAACATTAACGTTAAGCCCATGACAACGAATAGTTAATACAGTTTATTAAACAAGCTAAAAAATATGGAAGAAGAAACCTGAAGATTCCGCTTTAAGCTTTAACTTCCATAACTTCAAATTGAAACCTTTGAGAACCTTCGAATTTAATGATGAAATTTATTTCAAAGATAGACAAAATAAAATACGTTTATGTAATTTCTTAGATTTTTTAAGTGTATTTTTTATTTTTGTGTCTAAAAAGGCTTTAAAAGCTATTGAAAGATCCGAGCTTAAAACGATAACTAATAATTATTATAATAATATATTAATTATATCTGTGTAAATTAGTAGCATAATAAGTAAGCTTGATAAAGAGTTTAGTCATATAATATCTATATAGAATAGCTGGTATTTAAAAGGTTGCTGCCTTTTGGCAGTCTTGCAGCAGTATTTACATTTATATCATTAAATTATAAGCTTCTTTCCAAGTCAGCTCCTTTTTTGGCCTTCGCTTCTGAACAAGCAATTTCCTCATATAATTCGTTAATTTCACTTGCAATTTCAATATAATCTCATCATAAACAACCTCGCCCCCGACAGCAACATGACCAGGCGGCGGTCTAAACGCCGGCGACGACCCCTGATGCCTGGTCACAGTTCAGCTACCAACTCGAGTCCACAAAATGCGTTCCACAAGTGCTCTGAGCCAAGTTAGTGGCCAAGTTGTTTGGTGAGTGAGATGCAGCCAAGTGTGGCGCCAAATACACTCCGATATTGCACAGGCAGGAAGCATTCGCTTCTTGGCGCTACTCCCCCGCATTCCACAAAATGTTGAACGCTCAAAACGTTTGTAGAAATCTTGAGTAATCCGTTGGCTCCACATAACGTTTTGAAAACAGTTTTAACGCGCATTCCAATCGAGACGGTTCGGCAAGACGGCTCCCAAAACTTACAACCAACGTTTTGGTGCGTTTTTAATTAAATTACAGAAAATTTATAACAAGAGTAAAAGTGCGCTTGAAAGTGAAGTGAAAAAAAATAAAACAAAAACTAAGGAAAATAAATAAATGTTTACGTGGAGCTTATGAAAACCTATTTAATTACAAAGGCAAATGCAAAGTCGTATTAAGTTTAACATATTTAAAATTTAAAAATACAAACAAATTAAATTCAAACTCGCACGGATATATTGGATACGTTATATATTGGAGTAAGCTTGGCGGAAAATATTTGAAAGATTATTAGTACAAATCCTGAACTAGTTGCTATCTAACGCTAGATGGCGCTGTGTGCTTGCCCATAAATTGTTATAGCCTGGAGAGATCGCACTGTAGTTGTATTTATTGCCCAGAGAGGTCGCTTTACCTGTCCCATCTTGACTTTCAAACAAATGAGAACAACATATTCATAATCTCACTGCGCAGATCTGCATTCCATATGAAATACAGTTTTAATGTACAGGCAAAACTAAAGAACAATACAGTTATTTAATTAGGAGAGACTCAAAAGAAATCAGAGCAAAGTAAGAAACTCCATAAAAAAAAAAAAGTGGAGAAACTGTCGCCAGAGATGCCTCCAGTGGAGCCACAGACGAGACCTTCAAGTCACACTTAGTTGCGGCAGGCATAGATCCATAGTGTACGAAGTAAACCAGCTCTTAGATCTGAACAGCAGCTGGAAGCCAAAGAAATTACAGACAATGATGAAAACGACAATAATTTCAAGGTTCGTTTGATGTAAACTCGGCGCGCATGCGTTTAGAGAGTGCATAGAGGAGGGGCAACAGCAGCAGCAGCAGCAGCAGCAGCAGCAGCAGCAGCGGCAGCAGCGGCAGCAGCTCTTCAGACCGTTTCACTACCCAACTATAGCCTCTACGTCTATTTTTCTAGTTTTTGTTGTTAAATGATTACAAAATTTTGTTGAAAAGCCATGTTACGCTTCTCGGCGCAAAAAGTTTCTTTTTTTTTTTTTTTATTTAGTTTTTTTGGTCGAAGTTGCGCAGCTGCATATGGAGACTACGGCTATACATGGGTATATCTGGATTGTAGATAGGCATGTTGAGAGCTTTATTTTATGAAGTCTCTGTGGGTATTGCACAAGACGTAGTAACACTTCCTGTGATGCGACTGGGCCATCATCTAAGCCATAGAGCATTAAAAGTCTACTGGATGAAAGGGTCGGTTAGGTTAGGGTTTCTCAAAGAGGGGTTTGGCAGTAAGAGGTTGGTTGTTTGTTATCACATTGACTGAGAGAGCTTTATTGAGTTAATCGCGATATTATAAGTACCCGGGTTTTTCTAATATTGTTGCTGACTAATTCGATAGGAAAAATTTGTATATTATTCAAATGCAAGAGCTGATAGAGACTAAAAGAACTGTCTGGCAAAGCACTGATAATATACTATTATCAATTCAAATGTGATTCAAATCAAAAATGTGCTTTCAATCTTATCAAATAAGCTCGCCAATAAATTGAGCAATAAAATAGCTTGGCAAGTTTTCAGATTTATTGTCTGACCTAACAGATCAATTAGAGGTCAATCGCTTAACGACCTTCATAGCTGTTGATACGCTCAACAACCAAATCATTGACCAGCTCCTTCATGTTTTTGGCCACGATAAAGTCCAAATGATTGAAGCTCGACCAGGGCACGCGATGATCTTCGCTCAGATGCACGAACTGGGAGACCAAGGTGTCAACATCCTTTGGACCGCACAGTGCATCATTTTGGCTGGAATACGAGTGCGTATTGGCGGTAATTTTGCTCAGATCATAGTCTGGCGGCAGATCCTGGCCATAGAGTTCACGATTCTTCTTGCTGCCCCAGTCGTATTGACGGAACTCGTGCGAGGCGTACAGCTGCAGATAATGGATGCCCTGGTTGCTGGAGGAGCCAGCCGGATGCGTTTCAATCAATATTTGCATAGAAGTCTAAATATTGAAAGAGAAGTGTCTTAAGTTAGAAAGAGCACCAAATCAAGGGTCAGCTCGGCGCTTGAACCGCTCTGGAATTATAAACATGACACGTACCAGATTAATATTCTCATAGCCGCCGTTGGCGAACATCAGGAATCCATTCTTGCAGATTGAGTCGTAGGGACTGCCGCTTCCGCACCCGTTGTCGGCGAGACGATTGACAATATTATTGTACGGTATCAGTTCAGTGTCCACCAGCAGCTGGTTCCAAACACCGCCAGGTGTGCCCACCAATGGGCCCAACCATCTGAAGATGGGCGATTTGCCATGTTCAAAGAATGCGCACGGTGCCAGCAAATGACCCGACTTGATCTTCTCATTGTACTCCGGACGCTCGGACATCAAAACCAAATAAACCGTCGTGCCCTGCGAGTGACCCGCATAGTGCAGCTGCTTGTACTGTGTCTCATCCAGTATGTAATCGATCATGGCAGCGATATCGATGGTGCCAATCTCATGCCAATCGAAATGCCAGAACTTGGGATTGTTCAGTGAGATGATCTCGTTGGCCCGCGAATAAATGTTGCCACGCGCATTGCCCAGCCAGACATCGTAGCCGGCATCGGCCAGCAGATAGGCCAACGAGTTGTCCGGCCCAGAGCTCAGCCAGCAGTCCGAGTTGCTGAACAGGCCATGCTGCAGCAGCACGGGTGGACGCTTCTGACTCTTGTTGTTCAGTTTGTGCGAGTAAGGAATGCGGAAGAGTGTCAGCACGTAGCCATCCTCGGTGACCACCTCATGGGTCTCAGCTGGGTAACCATGGGAGCGTATGCGCTCATCCGATCTGACCATCCCATGCAGGGTGATTCTGGGATCAGCGGACGCTAGGCACAAGGCCAGCACAAGTGAAAGCACGTAAAAAATGAAACGCATTCTAGACTCTCGAAGGAACCTATTAAGTCTAACAGCAGCTGCTGTGTGGTTCACTTATATAGCCAGGCAAAGATAGATAGAGGGACAGAGAGAGAGAGAGAGATAGAGAGTGACCAAGGTAGAGAGAGAAAGGGAGAGAGAGAGCTCTCCATTGAACTTATCAATCCGAAACCATTTGATTTATTCCAGAGCTGATAATTCCATAGATTTAGATAGCCGTACAGTCTGTGGCCGGTAATTTAAGGCTCATTGGAACAGTTAAGACTGAAAATATGTCTTGCCCAGGGTGGGCAAGTCTTACCAACTATTGCCTATTTTTGGCCAAAAGATGATTGATTTATGTACACATTCCAATTGATATACGACCTGAACCTTGTCAGGTGTCAGTATGGGACCCCACATATAACTATTTTTTGTTTGTTTATATTTTCGAAATATCTGAATGGACAAGTACAATCAGCTGCGTACTTGTACTATCATAATAATTTCTTTATGATTGCTGTGAACAATATTATCAAATTATGGCTAATACCATTTTGGGTGCCAGACAGTTGGATTCAGACGTAATCAGTTTTTTCTTATTAGCAAAAATCCATTTTGTAAGTTTTTTGGATTTTTTCATTTAATATAGATTTCATGATATTTATACTGGACAACAATATTACCTGTTGCGATGCAGTCAAACTTACCTAAAAAAAATCTAGAAACGAAAATAGCCTGATTGGAAATAATTTTGTAGAGCTTCTGACTTGATATATTTTATTGTTATAATTTATTATTTGTTATTAAGGCTACAATATGAAAAGCTACTTTTGTATATTCTTAAAAATAGGCTTAGTTTTTATATATTTACTAAATTGTATTGAAGTTCTTAATTTATAATTGCCCGTTGCACTGAAAATATTGTAAGCCATGGATATTTTCGTTTGCAAGATGCGGGCTATATTTGATCTTTAACCCAAAACTTGCATCTACCAAATATGGCTTGATAAATGCAATGCTTGGGGCCAAAATTTATTCTTTGGTGTATTTGTTTTTTAATTAAAAAATAATAAAAAATTAAATTAATAATCCGTTCTCGAACTAGCTTGCAGTCTTGATAGTTATATGGATTTGCATTTATTTTGAACTGAATGTTTTATGCTTATTTGTTCCCATCTATACCTAAGGCCGCTTAGACTGGGCCTCCAAATTAGCGGGCTAATCCACTTTCCCTTTGTAAATCTTTATCCCCTTACCCTTAAAAGTCCATTCGAAGCAGAGTATGTTTCTCAGTCTTATGGAGTTTTCATTAGGTGTTTTATTGGTCTTTAAGCTATGTGCCAGTCAGGCCCAACTATTCCCATGAACTAAGCGAATCGCAGGATGCTTCTACTACCAATCCTATTGTTATATGCCGCCTGGACAGCGCTTGTGCGAGCGGACAGCTGTCCACCCTCCGAGGCGATTCTGCCCTGTCGCTGTTCGCTGCGCGGCAAGGAGATACAAATATGGTGAGTCGATCCGGACGGGGCATGGTTAACAGCCAGAGCTAAGCACTTCTTTGTGCAGGTGCTCGCACAGCAACTTGCCACAGATAATGGATGGCCTGAAATCCGTGGAGCGCAACATAAAGACGCAAATTGATGAACTGGTGCTGGAGAACAATCAGCTGCCGGCGCTGCCGGGTCGCTTCTTTGGCAATCTGCAGATTGTGCGGCTGATGCTGCGCTACAATAGCATCGAGCGTGTCTCGAATGGCTGGCTGAATGAGCTGGAGAACAGCCTGGTGGAGATATTCATAGTGGAGCCACAGCTGCGCAGCATACCCACGGAGAGCCTGAATGGCATGATCAATATGCTGGCCATAACCATACAGAGCGATGAGCTGAAGCATCTGCCCGACTTCTCCGGCCTGCTCAGCCTGACCTATTTGAGTGTGCAGAGTGCTTCGTTGACGGAGCTGCAGCCGCTTAGCTTCCGGCATCTGCCCAAATTGCAGCACATACACATCACGGGCGGCACGGGTCTGACACGCCTGGAGGCGGGCCTGTTCGATGGCTTGATCTCGCTGAAAAGTCTGGATCTGAGTCGGAATGGGCTCAACTGGATACATTTGCGTGCCCTGGCCCGGCTGCCCAATTTGGTTAGCCTCAAGCTGTCCCATAACCAGATCAGCGATGTGGGCATGATTGGGCGCATTGTCAAGGACTTGGAGCATCTAAAGAAACTGCGACTCGATCATAATATTATCAATGTCATTGAGGACGGCTCCTTTGTGGACTTGCCGAATCTATCGGAGCTGCATCTGAATGACAATCGCATCACGGAGCTGCAGTACGGCGCCTTTTTGCGCACACCCCAACTGAAGACCATCCATCTGCACAACAATCTCATACGTCGCATACACCCGGAATCCCTGCTACAGGCCTCCGGCAGCGGCGTGGAGGCCGTGCACATCTACAACAATGAGATTGCCCATGTGGAGGCGCTACGGGCTCTGTTGGATGCTTTGCCCACGCTACGTTTCCTCGATATGAGCGGCAATCTGTTGAGTGAGCTGCCGTATGGCGCCTTGCGGGGTCATGGCACACTGGAGCAACTGCATCTGAATAACAATCAGCTGCGCCTGATCGAACGCGATGCCCTTATGGCCATGCCCGCGCTTCGAGAGCTGCGCATGCGCAACAACAGCCTCAGCTCCGAGTTGCCGTTGCCCTTTTGGAATCTGCCTGGGCTGAAGGGCTTGGATCTTGCCCAGAATCAGTTTGTGCGCGTGGACTCACAGCTGCTGGCGGGCTTGCCCTCACTGCGGCGTCTGGATCTCAGCGAGAATGGTCTTACCGATCTGGCTGCCAACACCTTTCGGCACAATAGCCTCCTAGAGACGCTCAACATATCCTCCAACGAGCTGAGCCACATACATCCGGGCACATTCATGCACTTGGAACGTCTCTTCGAAGTGGATGCTAGTTTTAATCAATTGTCTGCCATCATTCCGGGCTTGCCGCAAATTGTGGAGCGCATCTCTCTGCGTGGCAATCGGATTGCCGCTCTGCCCGCTGCGGGCAGCAAGTCCCTGCAGTTGCCCAATCTGCGCATGCTGGATCTCAGCCAAAATCAGATTGAGCAGCTGGCGCGTCATGGTTTTCAGGCGGCGCCCCAGCTGCGCGTGTTGAGTCTGGCGCAGAACCAGCTCCGTCTGCTGGAGGACACCTCCTTCATAGGCATACAGCGGCTGGAGCTGTTGCATTTGCAGGACAATCAGCTGGGTCAGGCGGACGAGCGCGCCTTGCTGCCGCTGGCGGAGCTACGCAATCTCAATCTACAGTCGAACAAACTGGAGTCCATAACGGACAACTTCTTTTCCAATAACAGTCGGCTGGAGCAACTGGACCTGTCCCGCAATCTCATACGCAGCATTTCACCCACCGCCTTTGACAATCAACGCTCGCTGGAATACTTGGATCTCTCCGGCAATGCCCTGCTGGACATTTCGGTGGGTCTGGGCAATCTGCACAGTCTGCGGGATGTTGATCTCAGCTACAATCAGATCTCCCGCGTGCACTCCGATGTGATCAATGCCTGGCGCAATGTGGTAGAGATTCGTCTATCCAACAATCTCATTGTAGAACTGCAGCAGGGCACCTTTAGAAACTTACCCAAGTTGCAGTATCTGGATCTAAGCAGCAATGAGATCGGCAGCGTGCAGCCGGGCGCACTCAAGGGTCTGCCAGAGCTGCAGGAATTCGTGCTGGCCGACAATAAGCTGGTGGAGCTCAAGGATCACGTTTTCGAGGAGCTACCCTCATTGCTGGCCTCGCATTTTCAATACAACAAACTGCGCTTCATCTCGCCCGAGAGCTTCCATCATGCTAATTCGTTGGTCTTCCTGAACTTGTCCAACAATCATTTCCGCAACATGGAGAACATAGGACTGCGCAGCATGCGCAACCTGGAGGTATTGGATCTGTCCACCAACGCCGTGAAACTGGTCTCCACCATGCCACTCAAGGCGCTCAACTGGCTGGTCGAGCTGAAGATGGACAACAATCAAATATGCAGAATTCAGGTAGGTCTAAGCCGACGAAATAAATCGATTTATCTATCCGTCCATCCTTCTGCTAGGGTTCACCATTTGAGACTATGCCCAGACTGCGCGTATTATCTATGCGCAATAATCAACTGAGAACCATCAAGGAGCGAACCTTTCGGAATCTGAGAGGCAACATAGCCATACTCGACGTGGATGGTAAGCGTATGCCCATCAGGTATTAGAGCATAGAATTGGTATCGCATGTTTGTTCCATTTTATTGCTACTTAACTGAAAGTTTTGGGATTAAATCTAGCTTAAACGATCTAGGACAAAGCTGACTTTATGTTTGACAAATCTTATATGGAATACTAATTAGACTTAGCTCAAAATTCTTGAGCTTTACGACTTTCCTTATGAACGGAATCGGGTCACACGTTGAGAAACTGATGGATAACCATGCGATAAGATCTGCGTTAAGGAATCCAATTGTTTGATTTTCGAGGATCAATGTCTTATATTGCCTTGTCTTGTTGCATCTTTCGCTTAGGTAATCCCATTGATTGCAATTGTGAGATGCAGTGGCTCTCTGTCTGGCTGCAGGAGACTAATTTTCCCTACCCCGGACCGAAGTGCAAGGATGGTCGCCTCTTGCGAGCTGCCCGAATGGAGCGCAGCCTCTGTGTCGGCCTGGAGCTCTTTAATGGGGGTGATAATAACGAGCGCACCGATGGCAATCAGCTGCCGCTGCTGAACGAGCACGGGGATGTCTTCCAGCGCGATCTGCCCGATGATTTCAGCGATGAGTGCGAGGCGAATGGCGAACGGCCGATGGTGGGCGATAGCGAATACTTCTACGAGCAGTATGTGGACTCCACGGATGTGCCGGATGCCACCAATGCGGTGGGCAGCAGCTCGCAGCGTCCCAAGCCGACGGCAGGGCCCAGTGCCAACATCGATCTGAATAATACATTGCTGCACACCAAGTACTTCAATAGACGTCCACAACCAGTCGCGGGAGCTGGCTCACCATTCACCTTCTTTGGCTATCCCATACCCAGCTTGAGTCTGGGTCGCTTTTTCGGTTTTGGCGAGCGCGGACGCAAGCAGCGCACAGATCAGGAAGATCCGATGCCAGCCACACACCGAATGGCACACATCGATTTGCCCACTGGGCGGGGAAAGACGCGCATGTATCAGCCGAACAGCGCCGAGTTCGAGAAGTACTTGCGGGAACAGCAGCAGCAACAGCAGCAGCAGCAGGAGCAAAACGTTCCCAGAGCACGGAACCGCTATGGCGACACCGAAGTGACTACCAACTCGGCGGAGGAGGCGTTGAGCAATGAGAGCGGCGCGGCCACAACTGTTGGCGTCTTTCGCACCACTTTCCGTGAGCCGTCGAGCATTGAACGCGGCGGCTTTCGACCCATTGTGCCCGCCCATGTGGGCGGCTTTATGCCTGTGCATGATCCACAACAGCGTCGCGGGCTGGTGGAGCCGGTAAATGTCACCAGCAAGCCGCACATGGAGCGTCACTTCGTGCCTATTGCAGTGCGCCAGGAGCAGATACAGGCGCGCCCCAAGCCGACCAACAGCGCAGAGAGTTTCGAGACGGCCACCTATGAAGTCACCGAAATAACGCCCGATGTGACTACACAGATGCCAATTGTGAAAAGCACCAGGCCAATGACAACAGCACGCAGCACCACAAGAGCAACTGCAGCAACAACAAGTAGTTCGACAACAACAACAACAACAGAGGCGGCAATAAGCAGTGCATCCAGCGAGCAAGAGGCGGAGGATTCCCAATACGATGACGAGGATCTGGAGGCGCAATCAGTAACACTTCTGCGTCCGCCGGAACTGTTTCAAACAACAACAGCGGAGACCATATTGTTGATACCGCCACCTGAGGAACATGTGGCACAAATAAAAAGTCATTCCTGGGTAACTACCACAACAACGGAACCGTTCATTGATTATAAAGCCACGCCCCGCAGCGGTCAGGTGACCGCGGCGCCATCACGAGTAGCAGCAGCGGCACCTGTGCGCACGCCCGGTGGCCGTTCAACCATCACCAAGGTGTTCACATCGCACAATCAGCAGCAGCAGCAGTTGGCACAACCCACTGCCGAGGAGTATCAACGCACCACGCCCAGTGCGGACAATGAGAGCTTTGCCAGCGAGCAGCAGCTTATTGCCAGGAAGGCACAAAAGCGCACCGACACTCAGCCCGAGGAGCAACTGGCCGTGGAACGAGCGGAGCGCAAAGATGGCATGGACTGGTATTATGAAAGCTTCAAAAAGAAACGAGATTTCACTGAGCACGGTCCAGCGGTGCGTCCAGCTGCCAACCAGGAGGTGGTTTATGGCAGTGTGATGCCAGAATTCAGTGGCACCATCTCCTGGATTCAGCCGAGTAACAGGGACATAATCTTAACGCTGTTGTTGCTGCTATGGAGCCGTTGATAGAGGGGGAAAGTTGTTGGCAGTGTTGAACAGTTATATAAGTTGTTTATAAGTTTATTTTTACACATTATTGATATGAATATTAAACTATTTTGTATAATAAACTAAATATATTAAATTCATGCATGTCCGCTGGTTCAATGTGCATTGTGCCTAGAAAACAGAGTAAATGTCACAAACTTAATTTCATGGATAAACAAATTAGGTAAAAATAATGTTTGTCAAAATCAGATGGTGATGCATGTTAAACAGATTTCAACATAATTGTTCTGAGTTGTGTATGAAGTTGTCATCAGTAAAAAATATTTAGTTGGGAAGATAATAAATATAAGACTTACTTTTTAGCGTGGGCAAGGGCTTTTTCCCAATTTCCGTTCCGACAATTTAATGCGCACAAGGTCTAAAAGAAAATGAAAACAAATTAGCTACATGTTTTCAAATCAATGAGTAAGAGATTTATGTGTAAGGATCAGATGGTGATGCATGTTAAATAGATTTCAACATAATTGGTCTGATTTTTATATGAAGTTATCATCAGGAGAAACGAAATTAGCTAATAAATAATGTATTGAAAGACTTACCTCGAGCATATGAGGTTATGTGTAAGCTCCAAATTTACTTTTCCAAAGGACTTCCTCTATTATAAAATGAAAATATTAGCAAATTTATAAGACAATGGATAAGGATCAATTTATTAAACAACTCGTTGTCAGATGGTGATGCATGTTAAATAGATTTCAACATAATTTCTCTGGTTTGGGTTATGAATCTATCATCATTCGAGTTGTTAAAAAGCGGATCCTGCAAATTTTAAAAACTTACCTATTTTAGCTGTGCTCATTTTAATTCAAGCATTGATAAGTTTCAACAAGTGCAAAGAAACCACGTGGTTGAAGTGGTAGCCGTTGCTCAATCGCCAAAGTCAGATATGTTGACGTGATTATTATGCAGCCATTTAAAGGCAGTGCGCTTCATCATTGACATGCTTTATGATTATTTTATAAATGAATTAAATTAAATTAAATGTTAAACAAATTAATAGCAGCTCGACACGCCGGCGTTGGTAATGAAAGGAGCGAAAGAACAGAACGATGATGCCAGATGGCTAGCTGCATACCAATGGGTAAGGTTACCATATCAAATTTTTAGCGAGCAGCGACAACTCTACAGTATTTGGTAGCCCTGCCCGAGCTTGCCATATGAATTGGCGCAATTTTGGCAAACAAAACTAAACAAAATAAAAATAGTCCAGCAACAAGCAAGGTAAATGGCTGATTCAAGACCAAGCTAAAAAAAAGACTTGAAGAGTCCCTTACACGCCGTCGGAAAAGATCTGTATCAGGGCGTTGAGAGCTAATTTTCCCTGTTGAATTTTGCAGCTGCAGCTACTAAGACTACAAAAATGACGACAACGACGCCGACACTACAGACGCGCATGGCGCTAGCTGAAATTCCCGATCGTCTGGAAGCGCTCCGCGTTGCGAATACACCAACAAATGCCAATCGCCGCACGCCAGATGAGCCCACACCGGCAGCCACAGCTAACACGCCCAATGGTGGCGGCGGTGGCGGGGGATTGGGATTGCGTGTGGACAATGATTTAAATGTGGCACAGGCACAGGATTTTAGCTTCTCGCCGCTGCCCTCACCAGACGAGCTTATTATACGACAACGTGGACGTCGTCGTTTCACAACGACTTTCTCACCGGACAAAGTGAATGGCGGCATCAGCGGCAGCGGCAGTGCAGTACGCAGTCCCTTTCAGCGTACGCCCACGAAAAATCTACAGTTAACAAGCGGCATGATATTGCGCAGTTCTCCGCGTAAACGACTGACCATGGGCAGCACACCACCCGAACCAATGCCAATGGAAACGTATTCACCCATCAAATTGACCGGCACAAAACAACAACTATGGCCAGGTACGCCGATAGTGAAAAAACTAAAAATGGATGACCGTCCCGTGGCGCAAACGAACAGCGAAGTGGCACTGCCTGCGCTACTACAGGGCCTCTCCCAGCAACAACTTATTGACTTGATAATGTGCAATATAAAACAGGAGACGGCGACGGATACACAAAGCGGCGAGGAGAAAATACGCGCTCAGCTGCCCACACCAGACATTACGTGAGTCTCTTTCACTTGTGCATGCCAACAACATTTAAATTTTACATTTCCTGTGACACATTGTAGTTTGCTGGAGCAAGAGCTGCATTATGCCAAAAGGCTAATATTCAAATCTCTGCCCACGTCGCGACTTTGCAAGAAAACAGATGCCGCTGCTTACTCAAAGGCAGCCATACATCTCAATGAGTTTAAGCGAATACTGCAAACGCAGGCGAAGCGTCTGCACGACTCCACACACTGGGATGCACTGGTGGACTATGTCAGCATGGCTTGGCAATGTGTGGCGAGCACGCCCAACTGGGAGAGCAATTCCCACAATGCGGTGCGAAGACAGTGCTTTAAGCTGCTGGCATGCTCCTGTTATGCGGCAATCAAACACGGCGGCATGCGGCTGGGTCAAACAAGACTGGAGACATTGGAACGTAATTTGCGTGAGTGGTCGAAGGACTACGAGGACGTGCTGTCCTGCGTGAATGCATTGCAGCGTACGCTTAACAGCCGCACCAGCTTATAAAGCCATGAGAGGTGGTAGACTTCAAATAGACTTAAGGCAGACTTGCTGAACTCGAGGTTTAGTGGACCGTTTAGATTAAGGTATGCAAACCCAACTAGTTATTAAGAAATGATATTTGCCATTCAAGCATAGGCATTTCAAGCAACTCATATCTTGAATGCATTGTTTTTTAAAATTTGTTCATATTATGTGTTGTTTTTCCTATTTGTATTGTGTGCACGACACATCTGATTACGATTTTGTTATACACACAACACAGCATCCCCAGCCACAGTTATTTAAATGATTTAAACGTAAATAAATGTAATATGTGGCTACAAACTATGTGCATTATTATGCATAGGAGAGAACTAAATGCCCAACCCACATATTTAGTCATACAAATTTATATTTATTAACGCTTAAATATATTCATATACAATGCTTACCAAGTAAGTTTGATTTGTGCAAAACATTTTGAACTAAGTACACTTAATAATGGCTAAATAATTGCCGCCTTGCATCGCATGGTGCCTACATGACTATGACTATGTTGCACTAGATTTTAGTCTATTCCCAGGGCCCGCCCAAATCTTAGTTTTAGCAAATTTAACGCCTTCTGCTTCGCCAATGAAGTACACTCAGTAAAGTCAGTATTGAGCTTAACATGGCTTGTGGTGGACTAAATGAAGCACTTGAGATGTGTCGCCCTGGAATTGATAAATGAAATGTTTATTATTATTATTATTTTTTGAAAAAGTCAAGTTATTGTTAATTAAGAAATTGATAATCCCATCAATGCTATCCAATCCTTATACCCTTGTTGGGGGTATAGCATAGAAGGAGTTATCTTCAGCTCTATAATACTGATCTGTTTCAACAACCGAATCGGTATAGCGATGTCCGTCTGCTAGTTCCTTAGCTTAAACTATCCTAAAGATACTTTGCATAGTCATTTGGTTCTATTGCATGGAGTACATATGTCTGAAATGGCTGAATGTTCATATCAATATACTATTGCTTATCTTAGGAAGGTTTGAAGTAAAAATGTGTTTGTGCTGTGAACGCAACGAACTTAATCGAGAGCTTTGTTTGATTATCATTTTGGTTTTTGAGCTCAACTTCCGTTTGTGATATAATTTAATACCCTTCAATGAATAACATCATCGTTGTAGAGTCACCTTGTTGGGTATCAATAAAATAATAATAAAGTAAATATTGATTGACCACTCAAGTTTCAGATGACAAGAAAACCTTTATATAAATCATTAGCTGTAAATGTGTAGCAATTGAATTTCAATGCTAAATAGCTAGTTTATTTATTTGGCAGCTTTGCTCATATTTATGAGCATGCACCTTATTTATCCAAAGTGTGATGTTTATTCTTTTCACGAGAACTCATAGTAAACTTTGCGAAAGAACAATATACATAGCTGTTAATTATCCTTTAAATTTATAGTTGATGATGCCAAATGCTGCAAATGTTTTTATGATTTACAGCTTTTCGTATGATGACGCCTTTGTTGCCCACAAAATGCTGAGTTATTTCAATTAGCGCCATAAACTAAATCTAATTATCATGATTTGATTTGGTTGCGTTTGGAAATGATCATTTCTGCTGGCTTTCTTAGGTTTGTTTATGGAATTAGCACCGTTTTGTTGATCTTAAGATGGGTGTGTGTGTGTGTGTTTAGCATTGATTTCAGTGTAGCACCTATATAAGTATTTTTTGATCATATATCCAAGGGGCTGGTTAAATAACAAATATTGCCTAAACTCAACCAAAAAAAAATTCCAATCACACTTACACTCGCTGACCAAAGCGGCTGCACAGCAGCATTCCTTGACCTCCTCGAAGAAGAAACAGGAACCCACCGAAGGCTTGTAGATCTTTTCTCCCACATAACATATATGCGGCACATAGGGTAGGCCCTCTGTAATTTAAAAGTAAAGCATTTATATTATATATGAATAGTGTGAATAGTATATGCAAATCATTTCAACACATGGCTATCTATAAACTGTTCATTAAGAAAACAATTAACCATATGGGATCCCTGCTGCAATTTTGCAAGCTGTGCTAATTCCATATAAAGCTGGTCAAGATTTGAGCATATATGGAAATTTTGTTCATACAACAAATCGTATAACGATTTATTATTAACGCATTTCTATGAATATCGAAAAGATTTCTGGGTTACAACTAAAATTGCAACAGTTTTTTGATTCGTAAAATTAGGCAACAACTTTTGTTCGCTCTAGTTGTGATAGTTTACCCAAATCTAGGGATTCCGAAACTGACATATGGACATAGAATTGATTTTATATGAACAGCTGTCGCTGTCAGTCATAACGATATTTGGTACAAACTGCGGCAAAGAAGGCATTTGCTCTGGACCCTGACAATATGCTCCATATATATATATATTTAGTATTATTACACATTTGCAAAGAGAGAGCACATAATTTTATTTCGAATCGGTTGGGTTTTCAATATTTTTATGCTGCTTCTGGTTTAAGTAGAAACGGAAACCAATAAAATAGAATATGTTTATTAGGCGCAGCGCCAAAATCAACAAATTATTTGCCAAACAATACAAAACTGACCGAATGACTAAATATTGTTCTTCTGGGGGCCATGTCGAACTCTGTAAATTGTTTACACATTTGTTTATAAAAACTAAATGTGTGTTGATTTTTATAGAGTTCCATTTATAAATTGGAATAATGGTCGAACTCATTGTTTCGCAGCTGCGTGTCACAAATATTTATTCAATTATGTAATTATTTGAAATTTTAATGCAAAACGACAATTTGCTGATCGCAATTGTGCTATTAATCTTTTGAGACAGCTGACACGATGCGAGGACATGACAAAAATCAAATTTATGCAAATCGACAGATCGTAAAAAGTTGAAAAAAATTACATATAGAAATTTTATTGGTGCACATTAGATAATTATGATTGATGGCAGCAAAATTTGTCTAACCAAGTGCGATTTGATCAAATCTAGCTAACGTGGAAACTAGTTATATAGGACGTATATATTAAATATTAAATTAAGTATAAAATTCCCAAGCGAATATAGTATATGTAAAGTTCGTGATTCATTCAACACTTAGAGGCCTAAAGGCCTAGCCAAAAAAGTGACGAATTCAATCAACTGGCGTTACAAACGGTTAATAAAACATGGTCAAAAGTCGTTACGACAGACACCGGTAGAAGCCCAAAACCACCCACAGTGTGATGAAAATAAAACAAAAGAGTTTTCATTCATAGAGAGCCCGCCTGCTATAGAGCAGGTGTTTAGGCATTACGATTCTAGACACGTGCCCAATTGAATGCTTCGGCTGCTGTTGATATTAATGTGGCTAAGGGCGTTGCATATTAAATAACAGAAGCAGCCAAGTCAGTGGCAAAATATTTTAATTCCATAAATAAATACATTTTATTAACTGCGAAAACTAGAAACAGTCGATTTTGTTGTTGCCAAATGCGACTTATAGATTATGTGTCTCGATAAGCGAGGAACAATTTTCGAGATGCCTGATAAGAAGACATTGAAGATGGCCTGGAATCTGATTTTGGGTTAAAGTTCACTCAATACTGCATTTAAACTGGAACGAGTATGCGTCTAAGGCAATCTGTTTTGTTAACCATTGGCTCGAACGGGAACGGTGTGAAATGTTATCTATAGTAAGACTTGTCGTGGAAAAGGCCGAGCACTACTAGCTAGTCTTCTAATATAATAATGAGGACTTTCCTAATGCTAACCTTCGGTATGTGGACTGCCTAACCATTAGGCCATAAAAACGAGCCCAATTAGAAACTCAAAATGAGTCTATAAAAAAGAAAACGACTACAGAAATTTAAATTTAATGAGCGTATTTACTAGAACACACAGAACAATTTGAATGCGAGTGCATTTGGAAAAATGCGAAACGGAAAATTGTGCACGCCTTGAAGAAAACCATTCAAGTGTAGAAAATACGAACGATGTGCCGAACCCACAAAACGCCGACCAGCCGCCAATGCACATCAAAACAAACATAAAAAACTAACTAAAAAAAGAGAATAATCAACTGACGCTTGGACACTTGGAATGTCAGTTTAGCTACAGTAAGGCCATGTTAAAGCGGCAAAGGCGAAAACATTCAACTAGGTTTCCGGAATAACTTTTGAGGGAACGCAGAAGTTTAGCAAATGTATCCAAATGATCGTGTAATATTGAAAATATAAATATCGAATAATAGCAAATGGTTGCTATCACTATAGCGGGTAACCACTGTAGCCCTATGCAAATCAGTGCAATGGAGCGTAGCTGCGGTTAAGATATGTGGACCACAACTTTAACGGCTAACAACTTCCGCGATGGCCACGTGCTAATGAAGAGAGAGAGAGAGAGAGCGAGAGAGAGATAGAGAGAGAGAGATGACGGGCGAGAAAGAGATAGCAAACCCACTGCACCCACAATTATGGGCAAGTTTAGTGGTTCGCTTAGCTTGCATCATTTTTGTGCTGCGCTCATTGCGTGCCTCTCGCTCATTAGCCAATGAAATTGTTGTTTCAACGTAATGAACTAATGAAGCTTAAGTTAAGCTTTACTTAAGTGGGTTAGTGGCACTCGCCAGCGTTTTCATTTTCCATGTTATTCAAGAATTTCAGATTGTTTGTTTACATGTGAGAATTTGCAGAGTTTACAGTCTTCTTTGTTATTGTTGAGGCGCCATGTGTGCTTGAATGTACTGGGAGCTTATAAATATCTTAATATCATCATTATCTGGCCGTTTACTCACCTTCTCTGTGCTGCAGCTCGCACCAGCAATGATCATTTAGGAACTGTGGACCCAAACAATAATTCAGCACCGTCGGCGTGCACTTCATCGAGTTGCAAGCGTTTTGTGTGCCGCCATGAGCTGCAAAAGAGAAACATAGAGTTCGCTTAAAGAGAGTAAAGAGAGCGTATGTTATTGGGAAACCATTTACGATACATCAGATCGCCGTCATGATTCAAGGAAGAGATCACTCTCACTTCACGTTTGGTTGCAATGAGATTTTCTGGTCATGATCTGACGGATTGGATGCATCGTGTATGGCTTAGATAGAAGAGTTTTCAGCCTTACTCTCATTGAATTTGCGCAACGCTTGAATGGCATCCTGTCGCGATACCTGATGATCGAATGTGAATTCCTCGTAGCTGTCGCTTATTGTTGGCTCCTTGACCCTCAGATCTTCCTTATTGCAGAGTATGCAGGAGGTTTGCGGAGCGGCCAGTGTCGAGCTGAGGCAGAGCGTTAACAACAACAACAGACGCAGGAATGTGGAAGTTTCAGCACAAATATTGGACACTAAAATGTGCCCAATATTTGCTTTTGTTTTATGCGATCTTTGGCAGGAACTACAGCTAACACTCGTATTACAATTACTTGTGCTCCACGCACTGCACTCAAAAGAATTTTCAGCAGTATTTCTCATTATGCTTATTCCAGTTTTTACTATGCTATATTTTAGTCACATCAATTGGTTTTTCTCTATTTTGTTTGTTCTCGTAATATGATACGATCCGTAAGTCGTGCTAAGTGCTGGGGAGCATAGGGGACGGAGGGAGATGTCGTTTTAGTATATTCGAAATGCGGTCATATTGCATATAGAGTATTGAATGCGTATAAAGAATGCATTCTATACAAGACTTTCAAGCGATCGACTGTGTAGTTTTTTTACACTTTATAGCTGATTGATTTGTAAATATTTACTTGTTGAAGATAACAATCGCTTGGATAGCATTACTTAACGCTTAAATAACGCTAAGATATAGATTGATTTCATAAAACTATTCAAATTTTATTATTATTACTACAGAAACTTTTATATATTTGTCGTGTTCTCAGTTTTTGATAACAATTCTTTTGTTTATGTTTCTTCATATTTTTGCATCCATATTTATTTAATATTATTTTTTTTTTTTTTAATTTCATTCCAATTTCCTCACTGTTTCAAATATTTTCTTCATTTGCAGTTATTTAATATTATTATTTTTTATTTCCACATATCACATCAATTATTGTTACACATTTTTATCTTTCAGCTTTTTAGTTACGAATAAATTATTTGGAATTTTCATTTTGAATAGAAATATTTTTGGTATTTGCCACATAATTTATTATGCAGCCATTCGGCGACTCACTCAACGCGTCCTCCATTCATAAATTAAAGTTACAACAAAAAAATCGTTTTTACTTAAGAAAATCTAAGAAAATCATTTCCCGAAAACACCAACAACAAATATGAGAGATAATGTGGAACGCAAATGCGCGCGTCGCGACGTCTTTTCGCATAAAGAAAACTACTTAAAGAATCGAGGAAAGCTTCGACGCGGACGTCCGTCGCGCTGCCCATGCAAATTCATTCTGAGCGATGCGCCGCAGCGTACAAAGCGAACAGTCAACGCGTCGCGACGTAACGCAATGCGCGGCGTTACGTAGCGTAACGTAGATAAAGCGAATGCTTTTGCCACAAATGATCGCTAACGGAGCCCTTTAACTGTTTTTAATATCATTAAATAAATATTTGATATGCATTTTTAGTGCAGTTATAGGCAAATAAAGATAAGAGTTTTATGATCAGGGATTGTCGGTCGAGCAAAAAAAAATTAGTCACATTTTCATACCTTATTTTCTCAAGCAATAAAAAAATCTACAAAACAAATAAACAAAAAAAAAATCGTTTCAGATGAATTTAATCAAAATTATTCATCTAAAAATAGTTTTTTTATATAAAATCTGACTATATCACCCTTCTATGCGATTTTCATAAGTTCAACAAAGCTCTGCTGGCTTTTATGTTTTATTATCAGTGTACTATTATCAAGTTATCGAATCAAATCGAAAACTCTCTCTCTCTCCCTCTCTCTCTCTCTCAATCTCTAACTCTCATTATATTTCTGTTAAGTACTCCTGTTCTTAATCTAACTTCTGTTTTCTTTCAGTGTGTGTATAATCGCTTGTGGATAATTTCGGGTAAGTACATTTACCATATTTACCAATATATATATTAATATAAATAAAGCACTTCATGATGCTTGTTCAATTTTAAACTCAGTAATTCACATACTATTCACTCAGCTTTCCCCGCACGGCAACTGATTAGCCTCGCCTATCAACAGTCGTTTTATCATATCATCCAAGAAGTCGGGCGGAAAAGCGATGCATGGACCATTAATAAGATGGCACTTAATAATCTTTGGTAATTTGTTGAAAATGATGCAGAACACGCAGTACAACATTCCTCGCCTGCCTGCCTGCCAGCCTGGGCAAATGACACACATTGAAATATTTTTATAATTTATGCTCACCTCCCTTTAAATAGAGAGCTGGCTATATGGGGAAGGAGTAGTTTCTTAGCCGCCTCATAATTTTTGTGTGTGTTCAAAAATAACATCAAATTCACATCAACGTTGTGTTGAGGAAGTTCTTGATCTGTTTGAGGCGCCCATATGTTCTCGTCCCCCTTTTTTGTTTATATGTGAACTGATGCTGCTGCTGCTGCTGCAACCTGTTAGATCATCCCTCCGCGCCCCTCTGGGCCGCATCGTAAATCTTGGCAGGTTTTTGTTTTGAAAGCGAAATTTTATGGATTCTACTTTCTAGTATTACACAAAGGCTATTAAATTTTTGCTTCTGGCCTACAAACTGTGGGCGGTTATTGTGTTCTATTGCGGTTGTGCAGCCATGCCTCCAAAGTCTTTGATTTACCTTCTAGAATTAAAGAAGAATCCGCCAAATGACGACATCAAGCGAAAATAACTCAATTTTCAAATGCAGGCAGCTCAATACAAAGGATATTGAGGCAAGGCAATCGCACAGACATTCGTGTCAAGGTGAAGGGAGAGCCATCAAATTTGGCCCTTGGTATGTCAAAGTGATGTTAAGTGCTTCCCCTGAGGAGGGGGAGGGGGGAGGTACAGCAAAAAAGGAAGGTGCAAACACCATTTAGTGAGGTAATGAGTAAATGGCCTCAAATGGTTGTCTAGCACGCAAAATTGATTATATTTCGCAAATTTGCATACAAATATTTGCTTTGGTAATTGCTTTAGAAAAATAGTTCAAACAGAAATATTATCGCAAATGTATTGTTTAATTTTTTGTGATATTTCTTATAGTTTTAACTGGATCACATATTAATTTGGTGCATTTATTATTCTAATTTGAAGAACAGAATCAATTTGTGTTCTTCGAAAAACGCTCAGAAAACGGGCGAGGTTTCCCTGCCTGGATAAGCATAGGCCTTTCAATTATGACATATCACACATAATCTTGTTATTATAAAACACTTATGTTTGTAAAACATTTCGATCTACGCATGCTACTCTTATTTAAATAACAGCCTCTATTTTAAGATAATCGCATTCAAAACGCGCGCGAGTGCCGCTTTTCAAAAGAAACGCACACAAATCGCGCGCGATTTGCATTGCAGCCGCGAGCACAGTTTGGAAAGGACTGGCACACAGCACCCATAGCAGCTGGCGCGTTTTGTATTGTATTTGGAAGCGTCATGGCAACTTTGAAAACTAGACAAGACAAGACAAAATTTATGATCATTTTCACACTGAACAATCAATCAGCAAATCGGCCTGGATCTAAAATAAAAAGTATATCATAATGAAAACAATTTTAAATAACCCACCGACTGGCGACTACATTAAAATGCTCTCAATGCGTGAATTTTTCAAATTGTTGCCTTGCTGCGGGGGATTTATCTCCGCTCATAGACTTCTATTTATTTTTTGGGTAGATTTTAATCATACGCCGGTCAAAGCACAAATTTGTCAATACTTAAAAAAGAGCACAGCATAATAGCAAAATAGATGGCGACAAATGATTTTCAGTTTTTTTTTCAGCATTTGTTTTTTTTTTTTTTACTTTGTTACAAAACTAGCGACAGTTCAAGTTCGTTTGGCTTTTTATAATAATAGAGCAAAAAACGTGCATAAGTAGTTTTTTTTTTGTGATTGTTGTTGTTTTTGTTACCCCGCTTTTAAAGTGAAATAAACAATTTTCGTTTTTAGAGATTATTTGTTGTTGTTTTCGAAGCGCAGTAAACAAGTCTCGAACGGCTACTGAAAGCGTGACGCAAACGGCGACGTTGCGGCGCCGACAGCTTGCGGCTATGGAAACAACTCCACACATCCTTTGTCCCTTGACACATACTTTGCACCCTCCAAGCCCAAAAAGCCACCCCCGGAGCTGGCTGTGCTTGCAGCTGGCAATGCCCTTGCCGAGCTAAAAAGAGCGCGTCTGACAGAGGAGAGAGAGAGAGAGTGGCAGAGAGAGAGAGAGAGAGAGACTGAGCGAGTGGGAGAGAGAGAGGGAGTGGCCTGTGTAATTTAATATAGCTATCATAAGCAACAGGCTACCCACATCAAACCCAAACAAACCTGCGCAACGGCGCAAAAAACCTTCGCCAAGGACAACAGAGTCACAGATATTAAAAGCATCAGGTTTGTTTAGGATGAGGCAAGGCGCGGTATGAGAAACGTCTGAGCGAAAATATTAGAAATATAATATATAAATAGCGTCTTGGGGCAGGACAAAGAAAATTTGATTAACGACAGCTTGGGCCAGGTGTAAAAGCGTCTCGAGAAATGGCAGGTGGAATTTAAATAATAATATTGTAAGCAGCTGAGATACTTTATCCCTGAATTGTCAATATTGGCTTAGTAAGCAATTCCTAATTTATATCTACTTGAAGAAGTCGACATTGCTTTCTTTAATTCCAGATTGGTTTTTTTTTTAATATTTAATCAATTTTAATCGAATATCAATTAGACTTCGATTATCTGTAAAATGAGGTCTTATTTCATTTCTTACTTCCGAAGTAATTCTGAACACCTTAATCTACAGAAATCTTTCCATCTAGCCATTTTGTTGATATTTTTAGCTAGTTCTTCTAGCTTATTTTTCCCTCACATATGACACCATCATGGGACACACTTGGGACAGGGCAGTTTTGTCTGCCTGCCCCTTCTTCTTCTTCTAGACTATTTGAGAAATGAAGCACTCGCATTGTGCCAGGTGTTTGGCAATCTGAAGTTGCATCTGCTCGTCAATCTTTTAGCCCCTGCTCATAAATATCGCCCTTGTCTCGCACCATTTGAATCGATTTATATACCATAGAGCAGAAAAATACCAAATACACACGGCGTATGAGCAACGCATGAAATAAGGCGGCTAAGCATTAATGATTAGCTTCAGACGACGGCCCCGGCCCCAGCCCCAGCTGGCGACCAGCTAATGATGAACTGACAGGCTGTAGATATGGGCAGAAGGGTGGCGGGGCGTTGGGCGATTCGAGCCAGTCGATTGGGCACACAAGTGGCCATTGGCATAAGGCCAATTCGATGCTTGACATTTATTATGATTGGCTTATTAGGGCGCATCCGCAGCGACAGTCGGTCAATGGTTAGGGAGGGGGGCGTGCGAAGGTTACAGGGTATCTACAAGCAGCGCTTGTCGCATTGATGGCACATGCCAAAAGGGCCATTAACAAACTGCTTGGGTATGAAAACGACGGCAGCAATGGAGCAAAAATATTTTAGTTTTTCATTTATTTTTCTAATCTTTATTCGAAAATAGAAACAGAAATAGCCCTCGATAGGGCGTTTCAACAGTAATTAAACGGCTATTAGGCTGCCTTTATAGTTTGATAAGGTGTTTATAAAGAATTTATAAAAATGTTAATTATAATTTTTTCAAGGAAAATGCAAGCCTTGAAAGGCCCAAGAGAGTGCTACTTGATAAGCCCTACCCCTAACCAATACAAAACCTGCTTTAACAAATGCTCAAACTTGAATTTTAAAGTTTAAGTTTCATATATAATATTAATTCCTTTTAAAAGCTTATCGCTTAAAGAAATTTAAATCTTTAAACTTGCAATCAGAATTGTAAGAAATATATCAAAAATTCTTGTCAGCTTTTGAAAATCTGTTGTAAAATTTGATATACTTTTGAATAAACTTAGGAACTAAGTATAATAACTGAAGAGGAACTGCAAAGTCAGTACGTAATGCGAATAAACACAGTTTCGGGGGCTCGCAACAGAATCCAGTTGAATGCGACCTCTGGCAACGAGCGCGTGTCGCACGAACCCAACAAACCTGTAGAGCTTATGAATATTTAAGCGCCAGCCGGCAAATAGTTATAAAAAGCCGAAAAACAACTTGATATCATAAACATTTTGGTTGGCCCTGCATAATGAGCCGTGCTGTGTGGTGTAAGGAAAGCGCATTTAATAGAGCAAAGCACTTTATAGTTATGCTATGGCTAGTTGCCAGGCAGAATAAATAAATAAATAACAGTATTTGCTGTAAGCGTGTGATAAACAAATGACATGCAGTTTTTGATAACAGGTAGCAACACCTGTTCCAGTAAACAAATTCTGCAATTCCTATTGAAATATGCGAATATCAAAAAGATTTACAATAACAACAAACAAACAGATTCTTGATATAGAATACAGGTAAACAAAATACTAGTTTGACATATATTCAAATGAGCTGTTAGTAGTACAGGATTTTCACCTGATCAACAGATCTGTTCGCTGCCGCCTATATAAGGCCAGATTTCAGCATGGCTTAGCCATAGTTCATTTGTTAAGATCGCTTAAAAGATCGGCGGATCGTTGCTGTGAATTCGTGAAAGATACTTGAATACCGCGTGTGAGGAAGAGTTTTGCATAAATTGAGTCTGAGTGATAATGGTAAAAAATATTTAATTTTGTTAAGTGAAATATAAATGTTATCAGACTGAAAGAAAGTGAAGAAGATTGCCAGAATAAACATATTACACAAAAATATATTACAATAAATGAGTGCTGGAAATTTGAATTTCCTGCATATACTAATCTCAAGAGGGAGGATATAGAAGTGTTTACTCTCTGATTGAAAATTGATGTTTTTATACTTGTCAAACTAAACTAACTTCTTTCTTTAACTTAATGCTTCACCATAGACAAGCTATATTGACAAAGGAACCAAAGTGAGTACACATATCGAAAAATCGGAGAAAAGTAAATTAACTTGATATATTTACAGCCTGAAGCCGGAAAATTCTTAAGCTTTGATCATCTAACGTTTTACGTTGGCAACGCCAAGCAGGCGGCCAGTTATTATACGACCCGTTTGGGATTCGAACCACTTGGCTATCAGGGATTGGAGACGGGCGAGCGTCGCTATGCGAAGCATGCTGTGCGCCAGAACAAGATTGTCTTTGTGTTTGTATCCGCATACACGCCGGATGACAAGGAGCACGGCCTGCACTTGATGCAGCATGGCGATGGTGTCAAGGATGTGGCCTTCGAAGTGGAGGATTTGAACGCAATCTTTAACCTGGCGGTAGCCCGAGGCGCTGAGGTTGTGCGCGATATCTGGGAGGAGAGCGATTCTCATGGCTTTGTG